CACCTTCAAATGGCGGAGTGAAATTGGGTAACGAGAAACTTAAACGCAAAGACACTCGAGACTGCGTCCTATAAGGTTCTGCTGAATGACTACCACTGTGGAGACTTCTTTCACACAGTAGCCATCCTCGCTACTGGTCTTTCGACCAGATTTAAAGTGAAAAAAATAACAAGATTGGGCTATGGTCTAAAATGCATAGACCAGGGAACTTTGAAATGGCTCTTAACACATTCGTTCCCACCAAGAGTGTTATGTTTGACGCCAGGAAATTTCTTCCCTCCACTTCGTCCCCACCCGCCTTCCCGCGCCCTTTTTCACCCGTCACACATATGTGACACATGTGGATCGCAAATGGGAGCGTGACAGCGGGACAGAAGGCACACGTGAGTCAGCAAGTGCTAAAGTTACTTCTTCTTATGCAAAACTCCTCAAAATTATTTTGATATAGAGACAAATTTCAGGGGGTAGGAGGGGAAGATCACATGAAATCCTCAAAAAAAAAAGCAAACTGCGATCACCAGAGTCGCGCGCTTGAGACCACGTTGCCAAACAGGGAAATCCGAATAGGGCGGCAACACAACGCGTCAACCACTTAAACGCATAAATTTGTGTGAAATTAAGGGATTATGGTAGGTATTCTGATCCAGAAGCAACCGGAAGTAATTACAAAGGCATCTTCATTCAACGCCTGTGTCACAGAGGATGACTTCTACTTCACTGAGGCCATTTCACAAGGCCACTTCAAGCCATCATTGCCTTGGAGCTGTTACTTGGTTACTGAAATCACAATAAGTAGCATGAGTCACCAGCCCTTTGAGAAAATAGCCAAAGAATTAAACCACCGTTCTGATTAAATTAGCGTGCTGCCAGGACTTCACATTTCGAGTCCTTTTTGATGGGAATGGATGAGGATGGTGTGATGTGAGCGATTTCTTATCTACCCTACATTCACTGCACACTTCCCAGGAATCGCTGGCGGCAAATGAGATGCTTTTTGGCTCGAAATTGTAAGTCCACTCAATTTAATCACACTTTCGAAGTACAAAATACAATGCCCACATTTATGTGTGCATACAGAGTGGAAGGTGAAATGCACTCATCGATTGACACTGACATCCTCGTCAAGTGGAATTGACATCTGTATGACACAAGAGGAAGGAAAGGGAGGGGCGAAGGAGAGAACCTATGAAGGCTCCACCAACCAGTCGAACAAAAAAAGGATTCAAATCTCACGCCAGTGAAAAAGGAGAACCTCGTAACTAGATCCCTCAACCATCACACCAAGTGGAAAAGAGAAGGAGTTTTACTTAATCAAATCGAGAAACCTGATCAACGGTGTGTCAAAGCACACACATCAACTGTCACATTGGAGTTGCATTTGGTACTGTATGACGTCACA